TTTCAACATCTTGGAAATGACATTTCTGAAATGTTCTCAGTTTAAAATGCGTTAAAAGGCATTACTTTTTAGTAAGGCAAGATCTTTTTTTTTTATTGATTTTTAATATTCTCTCAAAAACCAGAAGGGATCCAATAAAAATCTTGCCGGAGACCAAAAATGAAAGATTTGCAACACCCTTCGAAGCAGATGGAAAGGGGAAGGACAAGGAGAAGGCACATCGAATGGCTAGCTACAAGCACCCCACGCTTTCACCCCCCTCCCCTGAACCCCCCCCTCCAAATTGGGGGTGGGGGTGGGGGGCGCTGCAGAATTCCCCATTGACCTCATTCCTTTCCCTTTTGGCATGCAGACTTTTCCCATGGGACCAAGGATTCCGTTCCCAAACCAGCAAACACACCTAACATATAAACACAGTAATGATTGTCTCACACCCAGAGGTTATCACCAACATTTGCACATGCATAGGTTCACACACACACACACACGTCACCCAATTTGGGCAGGGATTTCAGTGGCTCAGGAAGGCCACACACACACACACACACACCTCTCCAAGGAAATCTCTCCTTCCGCCCTTAAATTACTGGCGTCCATTTTGAGTGGAACTTCCTGAGATTCGTCATTCCTACGGGAATGGGATCCATTGGGATGCCAGCAGCAGCTGGAGAACTGCCAGCGGGCATTGGGCAAAGACTGGCAAAAGAGGTGGGCAGAGAGCCAGGCTTGGCCAATCCCTCTTGGCACAGAACCCACTTACAGCTGGACACATTTTGCACGCCCACCCCTAAGGTGACACCTTCTGGAGTGTGCAGAAGGTGCGTCGTCGGATAATGTGAAGTGCCAGTGCTTTGGCAACCTCAAATACTGACAAGGAAAAGTAAAGATAAAGAAAAAAGAGAGACCACCACTGCTCCCATTTGCCTGCAGGGGGAAAATGTACCAAACTGGAGCAGTGATGGCTCTTGACCATAGTCCCATTTTCCTCTGTGGCTGACTTGAGAAAACTTCCCTAACAATCGACGGTCTACAATCCAGAGTCTTTATTTTTTTCTGAGGGGACTTTGGCAATCTTGACACCCAAGCCAAGACACCAAACCCCTGCCTCCTATATCTGATGGCAAGTTGGAAGTTAAAGAGTAACATGGCACACACACACACCCCTCCACTGTTTCTGCCAATGTGTCTAAGAGGGTTTGCTTCATCGGGGGGGGAAAAAAAATATCTCTGATTTTGGACAGACATCCCAGTTGCAGAGAACGAAAACGGAGCGTTAATTTGTCTCCTGCATTGATTTTCGTGGTTTGGTTCATACAAGCGCTGGGAAGTCTGGAGTTACGGCATGACGGCTTTGATGTGCAGCCTGCCGGCCAAGGCGAACGTGCGAATGGCGATTGCGAAAAATCGTGGCAAAGTTTCGGATTGGCAACTGCGCCCGCCAAAAAAAGACCCTACCAAATCCCAGGGTTGCCTTTATCCCCTCCTAGATACTCTCCCGCCCAATTTTTGATCTTGGTCTATTGAAATCAGGGTTTGAAGAACGGACAGTCAAGGAAAACAAGATTCACGATGAAAATAGCAGCATCGGTGAGGATTGAAACCCACTTGGGATCCCAACATGGAAAAGGCAGCTCTAGGGCGAGAATCTCGTAGCAGCTTTTAAACTCTTTTTTTCCTCTCTGCAATGGGTTGGATTCTTCAAAGAGCGAAGGCCAAACCGCAGTAAACATTTGTAGATTGTCTTTTTTTGGGGGGGGGTTGGTAGATTTCCCGTTTTCCTCCTCCGCTGCCTGCTGGGAATTTCCCTGCCTCTGAAAGGACCATGGTTGTGCAAATGCTCTTGCACAGCTCTTTAAAAAAGAAAAAGAAATACCCAGCGTAAATCGAAGTGGAAGATGCGTTCTTTGTCGTAAAATACCCCCAGTGCATTTTTCTCTGCATGAAAAGGCATCGTGTCAATTTAAAAGTATAACGGGCGTATGGCACGGTTCATTTTTCTTTCTTTCTTTTTTTCTTCTTCTTCCATTTTGTTCCATGCAGGACGATTATCGCTTGCGTCTTCTCTAGGAATGTTCACATCCAGCTGCGAAATGGCTATAAAGGTCTCTCCCCAAACCACCCCCCCCACACACACAAGTTTTGCATTCTTAAAAAAAAAAGTTTAAAAAGAAAAAAATAAAGAAATTTTCCTGTTTTTTTCCCCCCTCCCCCGCAGGGCGAACAGTGGGAGAAACCCAAGGCAAGCTGACTCATTGCTACAGACAGACGGGTGTCTCTGGAGTTGCATCCTACCATTTTCCCGTTTCAAGTTTTCGCTTTGTTTCTCGCGGCCGGTTGAGCCGCCTCAGTTTCCTCATCCGCACAAGACAAGGGGTGAATGCTACCTCTCTGCAGTCCCCCCCCACCCCAAAAAAAAAATCTGTGTTGTTGTTGTTGTTGGCACAACGGAAACGCAAAAGTCGGACAAGCTTGGAAGAAAGGCGTGGATGGAAAATAATTTTTCTGCGGAGAAGGCCTCCTTTAACTGGGGGGGCGGTCAAGGAGGGGGGCAGGTCTTGGCTCTTCTCCTTCCACCCAGGAGACCGCAGGATCCCTGCGGCCTAATCGCAGGAAAAATAATCCTTCAGGGGGGCAAAGAGGTGACGGATAACCGGGACACTCCACGACCTCCCAAGCAGCTTCTGACGTGCGTGACGACCCATGTTGGACACGTCGGTGTAGTGGAGAGGGAAGCCAAAGATCCTGCAGGGGGGTGGAAAAGAGACCTGTCAACTCATAAAATATTTCTCTGGTCTTTTTAGAGTTGCCAAGAGAAAGGGAGGGAGGGGGGCAGCAGTGCGCCAGCTTGCAAACCAAAAGTGCATTCCATAAATGTTTTCAAAGATAGTAACTAGGCGACTGAAGTTTCTGCCGTGCTAAAATCTAACTGGAGAGCATGATTGAGGCCTCTTGGCTATGGAGGTGTCCCATTGGAGAATATGAATTATGATACACCCAGGGGGTGGGGGGAATCCAGGGTCAAGGGTGACAATGAATGATGTGTCTCTGAGTCGGCTACATCCAGGCAGTGCCGGCATGTTAACTCCCAATAAATCCTCTCGAAGTTTTAGAAGTTTGGCTCAAGATTCAGGATTTAAATGGGGGGTCCCTGCCAGAATCCTGACACTAGCACTGATGATTTTACGTAGCTGGGTCATGAAACATCTGCAAGAAAACCACGAAGCTGAGAAAGCAACAAGGACCCCATAATCCTCCTCCCCTCCTCTCCACAAACTCCTCTCCCTTCTAGCACTGATAGGGTTGCCTAGTTTGGGTCATGAAAGGTCTGCAAGAAAGTCACCAAGCTCAAAAGAGCAACAAGGGCCCCAGAATTTTAGGGTTGTGTTCCAAAGGGAACACCTCCTTTGGTCAACTCGTAAATCTTTCCTATGCCTGCTTCCGAATTGCCATAAGAAGGCGTGAGGGAATGGCCTTGGCCTGAGAGAGCAGTGAGGCAGACGAAGGCCAGAAGCACATTCCACGCTTATCTTGTGGATGTTGTAGCCTAGCCTACTGGATCTTCTGCCCATGAAGATCCTTAATTGGAGAACGTGATTGATGACACCCAGCCCAGTGAATGTGTTTCGTTGGAGAATCTGATTTATGACACATCCAGGGGGGGTGGGGGGAAATAGGGTCATAGGTGATAGTAAATTACGTGTCTCAGAGTTGGCTTCATACGGGTTAGTGCTGGACATGTTGCTTCTAATAAATCTTTTCGGATTATTTTCAAGCTTCATTCAAGGCTCATGATTTCACGAGGGCAGAAACCCTAACAGCTTTTTTTTTTTTGGCATTTCGTACTGGCAAATGAGAGCATTTATTCACAGAGCCACAGAGAAATGGGCTACCCTCCGCAGGCTGTAAAACCACACCAAGGAGAGATTGCCAAGGAAATTCCCAAACATCTCAAGAACACAGAGAGAGAACAGCAGCAGCGGAATGATTTACAAGACAAGAAAATGATCAGAAAATTGCAAAGTGGGACTCTTGAAACCCGGGGTTCCCCCAAATAGGTTGGAAGAAAAACATCATCACCCCTCACCCCCCTCAATTAGCAAGACAATACCCAGGTCTGCATGAGAATGTGTGGATACCCAATCTATCTGAGCAACGGGTTGGGGAAAAGACTAAATGCAGAATAATTGATCCATCTACTTTGCCAAGTAGAAGGCACAGGGACTTATAATGGTCATTGAGCCTGCAATTTTGGTCGTTAAGTTGTGAAGATCACCACGCAGGACTGTGCCGGATTTTGCAACCAGTTTTTGCAGGGTTGTTAGGTGAATGCAGTGGTCATAAAACAGACACTGCTGATGTTAAGCAAACCCTGGCTGGTGGATTCTGGGAGTTGAAGTCCAGCCATTTTAAAGTATGCC